TTAATAGAGAGCGGTTTATTAATTAGTAAGTCTAAGGAGACAAAGCAGTTTGCATCTACATTCGCCAGTCTATATCATCGGCAGTGCACGTGATTTTCTCTCCCTATCTGCTGCGCTCTGTGGCTCGTGACCAATCAGAGAGGATTTCAGTACAATCACGTGACGCGATTCGAGTATAAATACTAAACACGGTAGGCGAAGGTCATCATTGACATTTGTAAAAGCTGAAGGCTAGGAGATTTTACAAGGCAACATCTAACCGTTGTTATTACCTTTATATAACAAATATCCACATACACATCAACCATGAATGGATCAGGAGTGATAAACTTCTCAGCTGGACCATCCAAGCTTCCGGAAAAGGTATTTTATTTATCATTTATGATGTTGCATTTTGTTAGTTCCTGTCGATGTTTACAGATCCGTAGTCCTATGCTGCGAATGAGCTTTTTCTTGGTCGGCGTGACAAACATATGTTGGGCGTTTGGATTGATTCCGTGTCTCATGATATATCGAGAACAAACGTCGAAACAAATACTATGTAATTTAACGATCACACTTTGCTACGAGTTATAATAATAATAATAATGTAGCCTAGCTATGTAATGTAGGCTTATTATTTTATTTATTTGTTGCGTAGGCGGTATTGACATTACTCATTAGTAGCCTAGGCTATTGAGTATTGTACTTTGTAGTAACTGTTGTAATGCCAATGGCGAGTTCCTTTACGGATCTAGGGCGCGGTTACTTGGCGACGGCGGAACCACGCATGTTCACTATGACATTGTGTAAATAATTGTGAATTGATTACGTCCATTGATTAATCAATTCGGTATGAATGAGGTATGTCATAATCTCTGATCTATGTTCATTGAAGCGTAGTTCATGTAGAACATGAAGCATACAGGCTTTGTATGTTTGTACTACTACTACTAGTAGTATATCGGGGCCATAGCTGTTTGTACACGCTCCAGTTTGCAGCTATGTGGTTCGCGAGGGCACTCACGCGAAACGTGGTAACTTTCCACTCGCCCCATTGTTACTACACTACTAAAGATTGAGAACGGAAAACTACCACGACTATGTTCGGTGTTGCAGCGTAGCGTATGTTTATGCTGTAGCAGCTTTCATTATATAATTATACAGTATGCTAGAAATTCACATAAAGCAATAAAATGAGTATTTTGTCCACAAAAAGATATACCAGCAGGAAATCAGCAAACTCTTTTCCATAATCACATTCTGGCAAAAGATTGTTCCAAATGACTATCGAATATACACATCTCTATCGATATCGATCACTATAAGTATTTAACAAAAGCCATGGTCTTTCAATCCTTTCATTTCATGGTCTTTCAATCTACAAAAAAGAGATTGACAAAGGATCCTTTCATATACCCTTTTTAGTTTATACAGAAGTTGTCGTCCGTAAAAAACTTACAATGCAGATACAGCGTGCACTTGGTCAGATGTACAGGTGGCCATTGAACTCGGCCACCTCAGCCATCTCCCTGGCAACAGCATCAAGATTAGCCAAACGCACATGACACGCACACATGATGACTCGGACTGACCCACAAATCGGCCAATCACTGCACAAAGGGTCATTCACATCAGTTAGCTTTCCTGGTTTGCACTGCTGGTCAGGCAAGCTTGCATGTACAGTCAAGCCTGTGTATATAGGGGTCACTCCAGAAAAATGCCAAGAGTGCCATTCAATTTATACAGGTGTCTGCTCTATAGAGGCGGTGTCACTATGAAACTGTCTGTCAAAACTCACAGTTATAGCTCGGTCCTGTGTTCAGGGCTCCCTCTGGATATTTAAGCCAAGACATGAGCCACCGAAGCAATTTTTTAGCCACCAATGGAAAACAATATCTCTCGGATAGACTGCTAACACAGCTTTGACTTGGTCTCCTCTCCCCGTGACAGATTGCTAAGACAGGTTTTGTCCGTACTATCTCTCTCTCTCTCCCTCTATCTGACGCACGCACGCACACACACACACACACCCACCCACATACACACTGAGACAGACCACTAATGCATATTTGACGTTGCCTCTTATCTGACAGACCACTAACATGTTTGACTGCATTTCTAATGGCGACAGACCATCGAATCGGCCTTGACGGCATCCATCCATCACTCCGTCTCTCTCTGACAGACAGCTAACAAGACACTTACCCGTATTTTGTGTTTGCTCTCTCTCTCTCTCTCTCTCTCTCTCTCTCTCTCTCTCTCTC